AGTAACACACGAATATCTTCTACTATCACTGGCCATGTTTCACAGCCATAAAGTAGGATGGAGCGAACTACTGCACAGTACACTCGTCCTTTGGTTAGCAGATGGATATCTCGCCTACGCCATAGGTGATGCAACTTGGCAAAAGCCAATCGAGCTTTCTCTATCCGTGCTGAGATTTCGTCAGTCAACTGGCCATCAGCACTGATGAGACTAGCGTGAGAAATGAAGCGGTCTACACGCCCGACTACTTCACTCCCTATCACTAGTTCAGGTGCCGATGCAACCCAATCCTGAAGCAACAGTTTGCATTTCGAGGGGGAAAACCGCATCCCGAACGTGCTTACATTACTGCTCAGGATAGTCAGGAGACGCTGCATTTTGTCAATTTCTTCACCAAGTAGAACTGTGTCATCGGCATATTCTAAGTCAATAAGCAATCCTCCTGGTAGGAGTTCTACTCCTGAAAATTCAAACGAAGATAATGTTTTATCTAGAAGCATGTGGACAGCACTGATGGGCACCACTTGAAGTAACCATTCCTGGTTACAGTTCGCCATAAGCTCTCACTCAGCATTTAGTTTTCAAGTAGAGCTTGTATAAGGTTAATGTACTTCTCTGACGCACTTTTTTGACAGACACTGCCACAGAACCTCACGATCAACAGAGTCAAGTGCCGCATTAATGTCTAGGAAGATCATTATTGTTTGATGCAGAAATGGGTGTCTTTGTTCTAGGACCTGACACAGTATGAATATTTGGTCTATACATCCACGTCCAGGTCTGATCCAGCCCGGTTTCCTCGAGTCTGCATTTCATGAGCTCTAGTGAAGCCACGGAGTATTATTTAGGCCAATATTTTAGATACTATATTAGTTAAACTGATTCTTCGGTGATTGTCACAAGAGGACTTTTGTCCTTTCCTATAGACTCAGACAATCAGTGATTGAGACCAGTTAGATGGGATTATTCTCAGTTCCCAGCTTCTGCCTAAGATCTCAGTCAATCTAACTGTTAAAACTAGACCACCATCATTAGAAATCTAAGGGGTCAATCTATCAGGACCTGCTGCTCTAGCCTAGCTAACCTAGCTCCTGTAGCCTTTTCAAATTCATAAAGATTCAGAGGGCTTACTTCGACTTGACATTCAGTTTGGCTGGAGATCATGGGCAAATATAGTGTGGCTGAAGGCCAATTAACTGATCGTTTTGCCCATCGATCCAATCTCCTGGAGTGAGAATGAATAATGAGACCATCTTTTTCTGAGATAGCCTCACTTACAGTCGAATTCCTAATACCGGTTTCCTTGATGAGTCTGAACAGTTGTCTACTGTTGCCTACCGCCGTTGACTGTTCCATCTCCCTTGCTTTCACTATCCAAGCTGCCTCAGGGTGGGCATCATTTACTACATGGTCGCCGAACTGTTTTTCTAGTTGCTCGTGAAATATATTCCTAGCTTTATCATCATTAATTAGAGCCCACAGAGGTTTCCTTACGATAATTTTCTTATACAGTAAGACGCTAAAAAATACGCGCTCACTCCAGAGCATGGTCTGAGTCTAAACAACTGATCCAGAATGAGTTGCAGTCTTCAAAAGAGCCTCTACACAGATGGCTTATATCGATTTGATCTAGTCGGCTCCATCGTTGGGTCTGCTTTCGGGGTCGCCAGGTCAAAAGCTGTTTCTCGTTATGCTTAGTGTTTGCTAGAGATAGGCGGCTATCTGAGCATATTTGCAACAGACGTTCGCCATTATCTGTTCTCTGAGCCGCGATACCATAAGATCCACCCAGGTGTCTTTCCTTTTCACTTAGTCTACCTAGTTGATCATTAAAGTCACCAGCCACCTTTACTATATCAGAGCGCCTAGCTTTCTGGAGGAAATCCGAAGGCTTTCTGTAAAACTCATCTTCCACCTCGTCAGAACTGCAGTCAGTGCGAGTGAAGGCAGATGCGACGAAGAGGCAACGATAAGTGTCCCTATCTTTACCAGTCTGTACCGTCCCGTTTAGTCGGACCGCGCATAAGCGACTATCTAGGAGCGCTTGTTCTACCCTAGGACTTATTGCTATATCTACGCCAGCGAGGCCATGTGAAGCAGCATCAGGGCTACCAGAAACACGAAGCGTAAACCGTGTCATTCCTCTGTCTGCATTAGGTGAAATCAAATTGATGATTTTACTCGGATCTTGTATGCGCGTTTCCAAGACGCAACATCATCGATCGCCTGGGATTCCAGAGTTCTAGCTAATGATGCCTGTTGTCCTATTTGACACAAGGCTCGAACATTAAAAGATCCGATATGTAGTTTGGAGCGGAGTTTAAGGAGCCGAGGAATAGCCTTTCGTGAGCTCAGACCGTTTGCTTCAGTGGGACGAGGTGGCAAACGATCGAAAGAAGGGTTAGTCAAGGAGATAAGAGAGTTATTAGGAGGTGTAGAAAGGATTTGATTGTGACCAATATGGTCTCGTGTGCTTTTATGGGTATGAGAGCGGATGTTACTTCCCGTCTCATCACACCGTGAAAGGGTTCTGGTTATCAGAATGGGCATCGGTCTTTCATCATGCGACATCATAACTCTTCTAAATGAAGACCTTCCAACTCCCAGAGCAGAATTTATCTGGTTCGAATTATTATTTCTTGTTAACGTTTTTTTGGCAAGTTAGTTTTTGCTGGAATGGGGTAGCCAACCCCAATCCCGACCCTCTTCCTTTATCCGGGCTTGGGACTAGCAGTAGCCCCGTAGAGTCTACAGGCGGAGTTCAGTATTAATCCATAAATAATACAAGATTCGAATCAATAAAATTAGGGTGATTTTTAATGTACAGATTTTTCTCACAAAACAATATCCTCTAAATGTGTCAGTATATTTTTACTTTATGGAATTATCTGTTTATAATTTCATCTTTAATATAAACAAAATCAATTAGAACATTCTAAATACAGTTTTATTGTTTAATTTGATAAGAATTTTGTTTACATTATTCAATTAAGATTTACGTGGAATAAAGTTCATGATAAAAGTTTAAACAAGAAAATATTTTAAATTTATATTCAACATAGTTTTATTCATACATTTTAAATGTTTGACATTTTTCCAATTTAATAACTTATTAATTTTCAAGTTTGTATTATCAGTGTGAAGAGATTAATTTAATGAAATGTTGGAAATTTTTAACACAAAAGATAGTACTAATTACTGACTTTAACTTGTTATCCCTCATGGCACATGAGCCACAGACCAGGAATCTCCAACCATCTCTATTTTGGGCTCTTCGTTCCGACTGTTGTCAAATGCTATTCATTCTTTTAACGTATGTCTTGAATTTCAAGTGCAGTGTGTTTTTTGGACTTTCTGTCTTTGTTTGGTTCTGAAGATTCAAAGTTATGGCTTCCTAGTATACCAATTTGATGTTTCCTGCTCACCTACAAAGTCTTTTCCTAATTTTCTCTTCAGCTGGAAAGCGGTTTATTCTCTTTCACAGCAGTTTATTGCTGATACTGTATAGTCAATTGATCTGGAGTATACTACATAGACAGCTATTTACAAATACCTGTACCATTTTGTTGACCGTTTGAGTACTGCGCCAAGTTCCTGCACGGTACAATAGGACTGTCTCCATGTTTTATTGAAAAATCTGACCTTGATGTTATGAGTATTCTTATTGAGTTGTAGGAAAACTCCGTAATTTCACATCTCCATGAAATCCATCTTACTTATCATACTATATCATATGCCATAAATTTAAACAGTGGTTAGTTTAACATTTTAGTATGATATTACTCGCATTCAATAAGTTTACATTTGCTCTATTGAAATTTAAACTATTTTCTGGAACACAATTCAGTACTCTATCAGTGTGCTTATATAAAGATCGTACACTTCCGTATAATAAATGAATTTAGAAACTTGAATTATTACATTTCAACTCGCTACTTCAAAGGTATCATGAAACCCAAATGTAATTGAATCAAACCGTATGATGCGACGAGTGCATAATCACGTGGATTTCCTAATTGGGTTAAGAGAAATTTCAACTAATTCCCAGCTCTAGTGTTTCTGCAAATGATCCCAGTAAGTGGTAAAAACTAAATTGTAAAGAACCATTTAATTCATCAAACTAAACATGATTTATCATACAATCCTTGAAAATCTTCATGTAATAAAATGAGGTTATTCGAAGAAATATAGTTTAAATAATATGCCGCAATTGTATGTCTATGTCTTCAGAAATGTATCCCTATTCATCGAAATTAACATTAATTGGGGAAGACAGTTTATTCAAGCTTACATTATGGACTGATTTTAGTTAGACAACTCCTGAAAACCAAGAAACACTGGACAGCTGTTTTTTTTTCCAGTATGTAAGTTTTTAGTTGTATACATCCAGCACATCACCAGGGATCGAAACCGGGACCTTCAATTCTCGAGGCTAATGCTTAAGCCAAAGACCTCGAAGTCAGCATATAATGCTCTACATGCCTAGCTTCAATCATCTAACGATACTACATCACTATATCCATAGTCACTGCAGATATTTGTCCTACGTTCGACACAGACTCAACTATCACAGCTTCTCACTAGAATTTTGAGATTTTACTGTTGAAGTCATTGGTAATCATTTGGTGATTTTTCTTATTTTCGTAGTTTACATATAACAGCTTTCTAGTGCTTTCTAGTTTTAAATAAATCCCATAATCTCAAAAACAATCTGATCTAAAAATTGATTTCTATTTGATACTAGTTATTGGAAATATTTATTTATCAATAAAAATGAACGCTAAACAAAACTAGTACTTGCATAGATTTATTCTGAAATATTAGTGCTTAATAATAATTGACATTGTAAACGTCCCTTTCTATCACGCACACATAAAAACATACTTTAATTAATGTTTATGTTTTCCCTCAATTCAATTCACCAGTCAAGGTTATTTATTCATCATGATGATGTGAATTAAAACCCAACCAAATTCATTCATTTTAAATTTATGATTCGTCGTAATTTTAGAATTTATATAAAACCATTAAAACACTCTAATGAATTGTTTATTTCATCATCACGAATAATATTTTTTTTTAATATTAATTCTTATTCTAATTAATACATGAGTGAATTAGTTGGAACATGGAAATATCTTGAAAGTTCTAACGTGGAAGAATTGTCCAGTGAACTAGGTGATTATTTATTTATTGAAAAAAATAATAATTTTATTTACAATTTTTTTAAAAAATAATCAGGAACTCCTAATGAATTATTCGATACTGCCAATAAAATGAGACCAAATATGATCATAGATTTGGATGATAATGAAGTACGCATAAAAATGATGATCTGTGATCAAGAATTGGATCAATCATTTGAATTAGGTCAAGAAGTTGAAGAATTAACATTTGATGGACGAATTGTTAGAGTAAGTGAAATAATCATATGAATATTCAGTCCTATGATGGTTAACTTTTGCATTTCTAATTAGTTTTATTACATTTAAATGTGAATATATATTCATTATGCTTTTTGAATGGCGGCTGATAGTTGGAACCAAAACACAGTTTTTGTCTTATCTAAGACTTATCAGCTAAATGTGCTTGCATCCCAGTGCTGATCCTTACATTGAGATTTCAAACTTGTATCTTTTTTTCTTTAGATGTTATTGTTTTATCTATTTAGCTACTGAGTCACAATAATTTTCTAACTTATTTAGAAGGCATCCATTCAATAATGCAAACTTTGACGAAAAACGAATGTTCTTACGCATTTAATGAATTCATAGTTAGTATGGAAAAGATTTGGAATAGATCATTTGATGTCCAACTACGAACTTGTTTACTTCTGTTTGTTTATTCCTTCTATCTTTCAAACCATAATATAAATGGAAAACTTACTTACTTACTTACTTGCTTACTTACGCCCGTTACCCCCAATGGAGCACAGGCCGCCCACCTGTTTTCTCCAACCAACTCTGTCCCACGCTTCCCTTTACAGTCCTTTCCAGTTTTTGTTCGTTCTTCTCATGTCTTTCTCTATTTCTCGGCATAATGTGTTCCTTGGCCTTCCTCTTTTCCTTTTGCCTTGAGGGTTCCAAGTGAGAGCTTGTCTTGTGACGCAGTTACGTGTTTTTCGAAATGTGTGTCTTATCCACTTCCACCGCTTCTTACTGATTTCCTCCTCCACTCGAATCTGCTTTGTTCTCTCCCAAAGTACGTTGTTGCTGATAGTGTCTGGCCAACGAATACGAAGTATTTTGCGTAGACAACTGTTCATAAATACTTGTATCTTCTGGATGATGGTCTTCGTATTCTCCAAGTTTCCGCTCCATACAGTGGAACTGTCCCAACATTTGTATTAGAAATCCTGATTTTGGTTTTGGTTGAAAGTTGTTTTGAGTTGCAGATATTTTTCAACTGTAGAAATGCAGCCCTTGCTTTGCCGATCCCCGCCCTCACATCTGCATCGGATCCACCTTGGTTGTCGATGATGCTGCCCAGATATGTAAAGGTGTTAACGTCCTCCATAAAATGAAGCTCCCAAGCGACTATCATTTATTAGTTAGCGAAAAATGTATTTAACTACAAAATTTCTAGTCAATATATCATGACAGTACTATTGAAGTAGATTTTACAGAATCTTCCTTTACTCTGTTACTAAATGTTGGTTATGATCGATTGATTTAAAAATGCATCTATCCATAAAGTAAGGTCATTCACAATTAATTATAACCGATATTAAATCTTCGTGTCAAAATATCATTCAGTAAATGGTGAATTTATTTATTTCGAAGGCATTGTTGTTTTTGTAAGTTTAAAGATATTATCACCTAATACATGTTGTTCAATCGGTAGTTGGTTATTCTTTCATTTGTAATCATTTCAAAATTCAAAAACGTTAATATCTGTTTGAGAGTAAATAATAAATAATTCTATGTACAATGTTTCATCTAATTTATGACTTTTAGAATTAGCATGCCTGAATCTCCCTAAGTATTGTTGTGGTTACATTCATCTAAGCACCTCAAGATAAGATGAAGTAATATAAACTTGAGAGCTATTAAAATTTGTATGAAGCTGAAGAAAATAAAACATCTACACTAACAATCCAACAAAAACCAAGGCTGAACAATTTAGTCTGACTAATTAAAAATGACATTTAGGAAGTAAAGGTTTTAATAACTGGATATGTTTACATTTAATCGATCATTGAGTGGTGATCAGTGTCATTTTTTTTAGACACTTCTTAGTTGTGATCGAAGTCTATGGATCAAGTTGCGATGTGGTCACTAATCTAGGTAACTCAATATCGTGTACACTATGTTGAAACGTCAGGTAATGGTAGGATACTTGCTGAAAAGTAATTAAACATAGGGGAGTTGTTTTGACCTATTTCGAAACCTATCAAAAGTTAGCATTCACTATTGAAAACTCTTCCAAAATTCGGTCAGAAATAAGCACATCACCACAATTAGTATCAGATTGTATGTGGAGATTTTCAATACATAATGTTAAGCAGTTCTATATTAAAAAAATAGGTGAACACTATTTCCTAACCTTCAGCGGTTTTCTAGCTAGAGTCAGCCAGTGAATCGAATAACCATTGAACCATAAAAGAACAATGAAAACGACCAATGTGTCATTAGTTTCATGAAGATAAGAAATCAATGACTATCGAGTTTAAATGAAATGAATTTAACTAAATAATCTAAATATATATTTAGCTCTGTTCATAATTCAAATCTTGAACATTTGACTTTTTGACGATTATTTAAACAAAGTACTAAATAGTAATAGATTTAATTAGTTCTATTTGAAAATGTATAAATTAATTTGGTGTCTTCTAAGAACAATGTTATTATATCAAATGTTATCGTAAATATTTTTCCATTACTTCATAAATTATATTCATAAAATTTAAATTCTGTTTAATTGAAGGTCATCAATAAGAAGGGATTATCTAATGAATAAAAAAATCACATTTTTTTCAGATAAATATAAATATTAATGAGTTAAGTGAGAAATATGCTTGCAATTTAACTAGCATATCATATTTTCTTCGTTGATATCCAATAGTTTAAACAATTTTTGCTTGAATAAGAAATTTAGCAAGTTTTCTTTTACAAACGCCTACTTAGTACCATTCGAAGTTCATTTTGATCATGGATCAATAGTATCTCAATGAGTAATTTTTTTAAAATGAAGGACAACTCGACAGTTGTTCCTTCTTGATGTTAAACTAATTAACAATGCATTGAATTCTGCATTATTAGATGTAAGAATGATCACTTCATTGCATTGCTTGTCAGTTAATTTTTGCTAATCGATGATATTGTCATCAAGGAATTGTATCATTTATGTGTGTGAATGCATAATTGAAGCGACAGGTTTTCGAGTAACGATTACTGAAGAAAATAACATTGGTGGTACAATGTTCTCAAATCAACTAATATTACGAGACTATATAAATGATTAACAAAACTTTGTTTTACTAAAATAGTATAGATATAGAAGTACTTATTCATAACACTATGGTAGTGATTAGTTCACAATTTTAGTAACAATGATTCACTTCAATTTTACAGTTTGCATCATGAACTGATTCTCCTCAGACAACTATCAAAAAACCAGGAAACATTGTACTTCTACTTTGACAAAGTATGTGACTCATTGACCAGTACGCATATATATATATATATATATATATATATATATATATATATATATATTCATTGTGTGCTGACTGTCGTTGTAGAATACAATTTCTACGTTTAACAAGACTTCTGTTTTGCATATTCGGATTCAAGGTAGCCTACCTGAACGCTGGTAATTGTCTCGTTCGCGTTTATCGACTAAGGTGAACTCGTAATAGCTTCAAGCGTACCAAGTGACGAGCGTAACAGGGTTGTGGTGGCGGCTACCTCTTCGTGGTCCTGCCAGGCAACGTGGTGTTGTTTACAGTGTTGAGGCTAAAAGCCGTTCCGAACGTTTGTGATACCGTGCCTAGTATGGTCTAGAATAATGGTACGTGTCCATGGTCGCAAGGCCGTGGATGCGGTTTGCCACTCTGGGGGATTAGGACTGAACGCCTCTAAGTCTGAATCCCGTCCACCGAGCGTAGGTAAATTTGAAATAATGGGATATAGCTTTCCAGGATACCTGACAGAGGCCCTAGATTTCTTGTTTGGGAAGCAGCCCGAAAGATCCTGGACTATTGACGCCGACCCTATGTGGTTGTCCCAAACACTCTGCATCTCGGTGTATTGTGTAAACTGGCGTTGAGGCCCCTTAAACAAGGGTCTCGAGTTGGGTTATGTGATCCGGTGCTAAAGGGTACTGGACGCCAATGATGTCTACCCACTTATTTAATGGGATTAACCCTGCTTAGGTGAGTGCTTGGTTGAGTCCATGACATCTTCCCCACGGGAGGGTGTACGTTGCGGCTGACCTTGTGGGACAAACTCGATCTTTAGCTTCTTGTGTGGTCTGACAGCTCCGATCGATTGTATTAGCACAAGGCATTTGGAGGCCAGACGGTTGGAATTGCTGCTGGTTAGTGCACTGCTGGGTGACTCGATAATTCGTTCGGGGCGCCAGGTCTAGCTGGGAAAGCCCGCCTTGTCGCTCATGCCGATTGGGAATTGTGGGTAGTGGATTGGTTTGGGGGATCTTGTTGATTCATAAGCACCCGAACGAGGGCCACTGCTCTTGTGCGTGCTTTTTGGACGTCCACTTGTCTGCAGACCAATCTAGACAGAATGTGCGCTCCCTTGTGGGGCAGGGATGATCGCAATATTGGCTCTTGTGAGAATCCTTGTGTTGCTTAAAATGCAGCGGCGTGCATGTGCAGCAGGCATGCTGGTTAACCAAGAATATGAGTACGCAGAACGAATTGTATTTACTCATTAAAGAAAATTTTTGTAACATTTATTCAACACTGATTACATACATAATTTATGAATATGAGTAAAGAAAAAGAATCAAGCAATCAGTCAACATGATAACCATCAATAAAATAAATAAATGCCGACTTTTCAATCATCACTTACAGAATGCTAATAACTAACTATTTTTAATCTATTGTTCGTGTTATTTTCTAATCTCTAAAAATAATTTGGAGTGCATTTCAATGAAGTTTGTACTTTTCTTCTACCGATTAACAACATGATTTTACCAAACTTGTTAATGATGAATTTTTACTATTGATAACCATTTTGTAAAGAATAAGATCAAATTCATAGGTGATATATGGATGAATAAAATAAATATAAAATAGGGCAGAGTTCAATACTATACAATAATATTTACTTCAAATTCATACCAACATGTTAATTATCATAGTTGTGTTGAACGATACAAAGTTTATTTATAGTTATGACCTTTTTAAATTTGAAGTACCTTACTCATTAAGGACAAACATTTATTAGAAACCGTTAAAAATCGATAGACAATGGATAGCCGAATGAGATGGATATTATTCACAGTAATCGATGATGGCTATGTAAAATCATAAATTAACCAATGTTAGAGATTCAAACTATTAAATTACAACTTTATGACCGCCAAATAGTGTGATATGCTTCCGAAAATACAAAATGCCTAATTTTGTGAACATTGTTACAAGACTGAATACTTATCTTGTCAGAGAATTTAATTACTATCCTTTTTCTAAATAATTAGATATTTTTTTTAAAGAATGAATCTGCTTTTTCTTGCAATAATATCATGTCTGTGTTTGACTAAGAATAATGAGTAGAACAATTTATGATATACACATATATTTTGTGATTTCTCGGAGTTAATAATTACTAACATTGAACACATTAGTATCAGCTTCTAGAGGGTTTATGAATTTATTCTTATTAGGAATCACTAAGTATGAAATTTGCAATAGTTTTAAATTTGAGAAATAATTAATTGAATGCATGGAATCAACAGAATTAAGCTTTGTGTTTATATGAAAATAAGTTCGCCAAACTGCTCATCAGTGTCCATTGAAAGTAACTTATATTTGTAGTTACAGAATTTAATGTTTGAAAAATAATACTACATGAGAACTTCTTGAGTTTGGTTGTTTGTTTTGAAGATAGCTTATATCATAAACTTTTAGTGGTCAGAGGATAGTTAAATATTCAGAAACACTGAATAGCTGTTCCATTCTAGTCTAGGATTTCCTGGCAATATTCAGCTACAATGTGACATGTCCACGAACCCACAACCTACAAGTCTCCTTATTGATTCGTCGACACTCAGTACTTGAGTTAAATTATGATTATATTGCTTTTTTTCGAAGTTTATCATTAATTTTTAATTTTTCCCTGTCTAATAGGCTATTGTAACCATTGAATCAGACAAGAAAATGGTACATGTACAAAAACACGGCTTCACGGAAACTGTTATCACCCGCGAAGTTGATGGTGACACACTGATGACAGTAAGTTTTTTTAAGTTTTTTTAACAAACATTCAACCAAAATTATTATGAGAAATTTCACATCTTAGAAATATAGAAATTCTATCACCTGTAATTTGGCTACTTTAAGCTAACTGTAGATGTACTTAATAATTAACATCGTAGTGCTCTTAACTAAACAACCATTAGAAACCACGGAGCATCAGAAGCTGTCTCGTTCTAGTATCGAACTTCCCATCATCCAGTATCTACATCCCCATTGGAGGTCGAGTCCAAGACCTTCATTCTTGTAATGAACACTAAATCTCCAGGCCTATGATTCGGAAACCAAGGATTCACATGTTCAAATGCAGTCGGTTTTCTATATCGTACAAACAACTTTTTTCTTCCTGGTGATAACTGTCTAATACTATAATGATTGAACTCCGTCGGTTAAAACTTCTCACTCGCACTCTGAGAATTACTTCACGAGACTAGCCACTAATTAACACTGCTACATGAGCTCTTTGCCGAGGCTGTCGAATGGTATTGAATTTACGGACTAAAATTTCTAGATTCGTCAAGGCAACACCAAATTCATTTGAGTTGTACTGAAAAGAATTATTTCCATAGCTCACTGTCTAACTTATGGAAATTCTTTTTGAGAAAACAACTTTCAGAATCCTTTTTTTTAAATTAACTTCAGAAAACAAATGTTTCCAATAATTTTTCAATCTGTAATAAGCTACTAATAAGTAGAATGAATTTGTTTTAGAAAAAATTTAACAACTTTTATTTCCTGAACCTTCACAGATTTTCACAGCATATGTTCACTCAGTGTTTATCGGATCACACAGTACATATTATTAGTTTGCAACTAAGCTAAACCAAGAGCATCGTGTTACATGACTGCTGAATTAAACAAACAATAATCGATAAAAAAAGGCATATTTCTTTTAAGTCACTTCATTATTTATCTGAACATAATTATGTTAGTCAATCCTTAGTTAAAAGAATAATGATTTCATATCAAAATGATACTAATTATAGAATTGATGAATACCAGAGATAAGTGGGTAGCTATTCATTTTTATTACTTGAATGATCATTATTAGTAGTCAATAATTCACATTAAAAACCTGAATATCTTTATCGATTAGTCACTGACTAGTGGACAGTATCATATTTATTTAGTTCTTAGTTCTCACTGAATCCTATCGATCAACTTCTGATGTACCCGCTAATCAGAGTAGCTCGATATCATATGCATCATTTTTCAGAAAACCCTGAACCCAGATTTTTTGCCATTTAGCACTCGTCTTAAAGACTTCCCTGCAATTTTGAGGGAACTGGTGCGTCGGCGAATCGATTAAGTGTTTTCTGTCGACCAACCCCCCCCCCAAAAAAAACCACCTGGCGTTTCTGTGCCTCAAAGCAAGTACATTGCTGTTGGATAATTAATTGTTCATGTACTACATTCCAGCCAGTTTATATGACAGGACTAAACGCCTATAAATAAAATCCAATTAGCCACTGGTTCATTCACAACTTGGCTAACTCTAACCAAGATTCCAGGCGTGTAGTGCTAAGTAATGCTAGAAAATAAATAGAACGGGGTAGTTTATTCAGGGTTTTTTGATAAGGTCTGAGTTATTACTAAATCAAAAAGTAGCTATCGAATTGTATAATATCTTGACGAAAAATTGCCCGACATCGGAATAAGTATCAATCAAACAATGATTAATCAATATCGATGATGATTAATAAAGTTACTCCAAAAAATCATTACAATAATTAGATTAACTATAAAATTTAAAAATTGTATCTAGTCAATAAATTGGAATAGATTGATTTGAAATCGATCGATTGCGTAATAATGAAGAAGGTTTTGTCAAATGATCAAATATTGACCAAGTCTAGTTACGTAAAGAAAAAATTCAAAGATGAAAAATGCCAATTGTAAAAGAATTGAAAGTTATTTATTGATCAAATTCATCTATTCGATGAAACGTTTCGTAAAATCTTGAACTATATTTATGATTAACATAGTGAGAGGAGTTTTTAATTGAACACAAAAAGCCAGTAAAATTTGAAATGTTCAATTTGTCTCTAAGACATGAATTAGATTAGATATTATATAATAAATAGATATGATGAATCTGAACACTTACGTTAACTAAATATTGACATTACCAATCATGAATAATGCTCAGAAATACAATCACAATAACTTAATTTACAATCAGTGTTACTAGGCTTAAACGAGAAGTGAAACTGAAAATAACATATACTGCAGAAAGCTTTGAATAGTTTGTCTTTATTTATAACAATTAGAGTAGTATAATTGTATTTTTCTTGAAAAAAAGTTTCATTTGATTGCCCATTGGACACATATTATATCATGACATACACAGATGCAAATTGCAGCTTCTCGCAGGATTCGAACCCAGGACCTCCGGTCATGCACGTCAACGCCTAACCTCTGGACCACCGAGCTGGTACCTAACGGTGTTAATCTCTAACTTCGATCAATTCACGGAGTTGCGCAACCCAATACACTGTCTTCGGTAGTTACTGCCTTCACCTGAACAGGTTGAACTTCGCTGGTCACGACTTCCCACTAGAACTTGTATAAGAATCCACACGGAGTTAGTCACCAGTGAGCACATTTAATTGCATTACAGGATTGTGAAGATTGTTAAGTTACACATCTGAAATCACGAATCGATCAATGTTAGCTCTAAGAACAACATATGATATTGGTCACAGCACAATAACTGATGAATTTAATCTTTTTCAAATAAAGAATGACAAAGTAAAGTCTGAGTAACCATCTTAAGTGAATTATTATTTTTTTTTTATTAATCTCCTGATTACTTATTATTGTTTGATTTCTCAATTATTTTAGACAATAAAATCTCAACAACATGTAGCGACTATCAAATATCAACGTGTTTAACTTGATCATTGGTTAATGTTGAAATTCTACTATTTAATACTCGAAATAAATGAATAATTCGATAAATGTTACCTTTCAGTTTACTAATTGCTTATAATGTTTTGTTTATACTTTACAATTACTGTTCAGTAAATGTACGTTTGATAATATAATATATTATATTCAAAAATAAAATAAAGCTTATTCGGCAATTCAGAATTAAACTACATTCACGTCAACAAGTATGCACCACATTATTTGTATTGATTTTCAGTGCATTTACACGATTTTGTATGATTGTTTAAAATATAGGTCAACTATGACCGTGAACTAGTGATGTAAATGTGATTCGACAACATATTCATCAAGATCGTTAATGTTTGAAACCAATTAAAGTGCACAGTAATTGATTACTGAGTGGTAATCAACAATGTAATAATCTAGTTCTTATTACTGATCAAATTCAACTACTACAACTCAATGATGAATTGATGTAAATTATTTCAACACATAAGATGTCTAGAACAACTCCAAACGTTCAAACTTTTTGGCAACATTCTTCAGTCAACTAGCAACAATTAGTGTCAGTATAGGGTTGTGGAGATTATTGAGTTTGATTGAAATCACGAGCTGGTCAATGTTAGACTACCACTGAAATCTGGAAGTATTATACGGTCGTTTCATCCAAGTGTGGTACCCTTCAGTAGAGAGCTCCACGACTCCACGAAGAGGAATCGAAGCCTGGACCTTCGGTATGAATGGTCAACCTTCTGACAACTGGACCAGCATTCAACGGTTTGGATGTCTAACTTGAATGAGTTCACGATATTGAGCGATCAATCATCCATAACCCTACATCAGCAGTCATGTGCTCATGAGCGGCGAGCTTCGTGAGGAAACTCTTGGAATTCTAGTGATAAGCAGTGATCGTTGGAGTTCAACCAGGCTGCGTATGAGGCAGCCACTCACCAAAGACAATAGATGATTGTCGCACAACATCGTGAATTAATTAAAATTGAACATTGAAATCTACAAATGCCGGCTCATTTGTCAAGAGGTTCATACACGAGATCGAAGGTCCTGCGTTTGACTCCCGTTCATGGGGTGTATTCGGACCAACAGTCTCATACTCGAAAGAAACGACCGTACAGTGCTTCCAAATTTCCAGTGGTAGTCTAACAGTGATCAACATGCGGTCAATTTATAATTAACGTTATTACAAAGTAAGATAAATTTACAGTTGAAAACGTGGATGGATCTTATATTTGCAACCATTTAAAACAAGGAAGTATTAGATAGTTATTTTGTCACAATATGGGACTTATCATCATTGAAGATCCATGATCCAATTAGCTGTTAGGACTCAGGATGCTTAGCCTCACTTGCAAAGCTTAATCTGTACGTCCCTGATCCAGAATCAAAGAGTTTACATGTTTAGTTACAATTAATTTCCATGATTTTCAACGAACTTTCTTTGTCTTCTGGTGGTAAATGCGTGATATTTGGAATGATTTAACTCTACAGGTCACTGCTTCTCACTGCAGTTTTCGGAACTGAGAAGCAGGACGGAGATGATGAAAGACTCTTATACAACTTCCTATAAATTTGAACGCTGTTGAAAAAATGAATCTGGTAGACTTTATCATTAAACTACTGTGAAACGGTATGGTATACTAGACTATACCAAATGAAACCGATTTTGTGCAGCTACTTTAGCTACTTACTGGTTTTCAGTAGACAAACGTATTCCTGTTAAGTAATTATAAGACGATACGTTGACGTTTCCATCAAGTACTGAATTGAAGTAGATAACTGTTGAAAGAAAGAGTCGTCATACATCTATTTCGCTCAAATTTTGAAATCAGTAGGAGCGTTCGGGCATCATAAATCAAACCTATGGCATTAAGGTGAAATAGGCAATGACTTACATACACACGTTACGTATCATGGCCATCGAATACTAATCTACAAACAGTACTGTCATGTAGACTTCATTACATTTGTTAATAAGTGCTATTTATTCAGTTTATATCTTCACGAGACTACCAGTACAAGACATTATTCGGTCTGTTTCTTTTCCATTGGTCATGAGGATTCCTAGTTACGACATATTTGTGATACAGGTTGATGATTCCCGTGAATTGTGTCCCACTCACCGACTACCGACCTCATGCAATACACTTCATTCTCCGCCACTGATTTGATTTCATTCTTTGCTGCTAACTGGTCAGTCTCATCTACCACATTTCACTACTACATTTCCGGCCATATAACATGGTTCTTTCACACTCCCTCTGCGCACAACCTGTTCTGTTGTAGTTATCAGATCTTCTACATATTCCCAATTATCAATTCTACCACTTCCCTTCGCTCACTTGTTTGATTTCTTTTGTGTATTCAGACTGTTCCCTGGCCTTCATTGTTCTAGTTTGCTTGTTGCTGACTACTTTATTCTTATTCTTGCCTTCTTGAATCTCTTCCACATTATCCACAGAGTAGGATCTTTTTCTATGGACTGGAGTTGTTAATCCTAACCCTCTTCCTTCACCTGGACTTATGACTGTCAATAACTTCAAAGGGGTCGAAACGAAGATCTAGGATTAAAATCGATTCCAGTGATATATATATATATATATATATATATATATCAGAACGAGCATAACAGGTTTGCAAATAAACTATTCAGCTTAAAACAAACGAAATAGTACTGAAATATTCCATCTAAGCTCTAAATCTCTTCAATAGCATTTCAATATTCTATTGTCTTTGTAAACGATTTAAAGTAACTAAAGATTATTTATCAATTAGAATAATTCATGGTTAATCAGAAACATGCTGAACTAAATTTAGGATACTTTGAAGCAGTCATTGACAGAGTGCGAGTTTAATATTCAGTAAATAAGTGCTTATTTATCAACCTGGAGTACATTGTTAGCAAACACTTCCCAAAAAGTTTCACCCGATTTATGCTCTGTCTTCTTCTGCACTTGTCATTCGAATGTACTAGCAATTCGAAGGAAATCTATATTTAATCATAAACTCAAAATTAAGTGAGATTCTGAGCTTTGTTCAGAAGAATATTATGTAAAATTAGAATATTTGAAATCAGACGAAAACTATGATCACTTACTAGTAATATTCAGTGTTTATATTAGCCAAAATAACTTTTTTCGATCTTATGTGATGCCATGTGACGCCAAGCACAGCGGGAAAATCACAAATTAAGATGAAATAGATATCAATTTTATTACAGTTGATGGGCGATATTTACCTTTAAATACCTACAGCTCTTCATGAAACTATAAAATTTACTTTTTGAATCGAATTGAAATGATTGAATGAACTACCTAGAATGATATTCATCAAAACGACGCACACCGATGCTATTTTAAACCCACGAATTAATAATCTGAATTCAGATTCACTCAAAAATTAATTCAGTCAAACAGTTTGATCAATGACTTAGAAGACTTATTTAACTAGAAACAAGCAAGAAAAAATGAAATCCTATGACAGAAACGAATTCTCAACAATGTATGTACTTAATCCCGCATAAAATAAAACTGAGAATGAAGATACCCAACATTTTTCCATTGAATACATGGATAGATAGATGTAAACAACCTCGTCAGGTCATAAATAGTTTCTTAATCCTCTGATCTGTAATTATCAGATAATTATTACCTAATTAACATTTATAGTTTTCACTTTAAATGACCTGATTCAAATTTTGACAATGAATATTCATTTAATGAAATATCTTTCATCAACTTAATTCATGTTATCATTTAAATATGATGCCTAAAAGTACATTAAACCTACACACACATATATACACATACAAGACGTACGTATACACATTCGGAATAAATCTATTAAAAGCCTATGATTATGATAAAGAAAATTCCAAAGTTCAACCATAGTAACATTGAAAGCTTGATGGTAGGTGTTGAGTTGTTCAATGTTAATTATAACTATTGCATGAATTTTATCATCACATGTTCAATAAAATAATTGGTTACTATATATGTGTATATATATGTATATGTATACAATTACTTTAAAACATTGAGGTTGACGCAATTTGTTAACTAACTCTCTGGAGAAAGAAAATCTTATACTCTATGATTAGCCTCAAGGGTTTATTTTTTACTATTCTCATTTACTTACGGGTAGATAATTTTATTTGATAAGATTATCAAGATTAATTTTTTTTTAAACAATCCTGTTTACTATGTCATGTTCATATGTTTGATGACGTAGTATATCAAAGTACACACAGTCTATTATTGATTCATACAATCTTGTTTGGTTGTATAAATATATAAATAAAAGTATTTACCGAAAAAATAAAACTGATAACCGTTTCAAAAGATTAACTTTTGATCACTCTGAAGATTAGTAAAAACTGAAGGCAGAAGAGATTACGATTTTCTCCCTCAACACTTTTCACACACCCCCACCCAGGTCCTTATTCTCATTCTCCTTCTTTTGAATTTTTGATAAAATATAGTGATCATGTTTACTGAACATCTGTCAACAGTCACGAACATCTTACTGACTGATTGATTGACGGATTGGACATGTCAAAATTGAATAGAATGTATTATATGTATTCAAATGACAATTTACTAATGTCCTCAGTTGATTATTATTACTACACTATCTAGTAAACAACATTTTTATTTCAGTAGTTCAGAAAGGAATTATTTAATGATAAAATCATATTAAGTAAATCTAGTAGTTGTTCAACACATTTATTATTCAAACACCGCCGACTGAACTAGGCATTAAACAAAATTCGGATGTTCATAATCCAATAATCAGTTGATCTAAGTAAAACGAATTACAATTTTACATCTTATACCAATTTGCTAATGAGTCACATCGTTTTGACAATCTGTATAGTTTTTTTCGACTTTTAAATGACGAAATAGTTTATGAACAGATCATTTGAATTGATTGAGTAGGTAAAAATCTGCTGCACAGAATATACTCATAAAATCCTAATCCAAAGAGTTACTGTACAACATGTCACTTTAAAGTAAACACTTAACTGCCAATTTATACTCTGGGCTAAATAAACAGTAAGAATATATATTACATTGTATTTAATTTCTTTGTAGAGGACTTTGTTGTGCTATGGCCCATGTCACATTTCAAA